GACCAGACTGGAACCTGGTACAGCGTGCAAGGATATTTGGAGAATGTAAACATGCTGCCACCCCACCGAAGGAGAGTTTCAGCATTCCGTTTTAATGGGAGTACTCGAGAGTCCCCCAATACTTTCTGAACCATCGGAAACTGAGTTGAAAAGAGGAACTCAAGTCATAGCAACAGGCTCTGACTGTGAGTCACTCATAACATACCCTCTCTGTGTGCACAACCACCCATTTACTCATATCCATCCATACTTAAATTAGTCACTAAAAGCTGAATCATTCAAACCAAAACCTTAAAAAATGTGTGGTAGACAGACACAGGGTTGAGACGGCTTAGACAGCGTATGCTGTCGACTACATGACACAAGAGGTCAGAGCTGAGTTTGCAGGTTTGAGGATTTGATCATTCTGAGAGAGATTGGCACATTGACTACATGCTGATTTCACAAAAGGTCACAAAGACTGGAGTCAAAATTGAGCAGAGTCGGTCTGATAAGTCAGCAGCTCAAAATGAAATCATGACCTTGGATATCACGGCCACTCACATTAAGTTACATGCTCAGACCAAAGACTGTATACGAGGATGGATGAAAAATTCCACTTGCATACTTTTCTGCACATGGGCGATTAGCTGTAACACAGGTCATGCCTTGGACATTTGGAGGCAGAGGGTTTTCAGGATGAGTCATACACATCCTTGACACTTCAGACGTTCCTCAGGATCATGGTTTGACAAAAAAAAACTCAGTAGTTTTAAGCAAAGCACAAGACATAAGGACAAGAACACGTCAGATAATCCCAGGGGCAGACAGTCACCCACAAGAGAGTCAACTTCAGGATCTCCAACTCTGATCTGTGACCCTGATGAATTATTGATGGCAAGATCTAATCATACAGCATACTGATTTGAATAGGCCTGTTCAGGAGGCGTGAAAGGTTATATTGTCATGCTGATTCTCTTCCACTGTTCTATCTGTTGAGTGTAAGCTCTGCGGGGTAATGATAACCAAACACTGAGGTACTTCTAGTGCAAACTAAGTCAAGGACACAGTCCGGTCTTTAACTAATTACTGATTGATCAAACAGCAGCGAAGAAGCAGATGATGTAATTATTGACAGATGATAGGTGAATGTATTTTGTGTCCAGGTTAGGGAGGGATGGACCAAAAACTAAAGCATTTGAAAGACATTTTTTCTCTTTAGACTCTCTGGGTTTTGTGAGTAACAAGAGTGTGGCTCCTTTTAATGAATCCTTTAGTTCTGGATATCGTTAATACTGATGTCTCAATGCATATGCAACATTTTACTATTATCACTAGTCGAGGTCAACGTCATTTTAAACTTATGTTACTCCAGTGGTTTCCAACCTGGAGGTCAGGACCTTTCAAAGTTTTTAACAGGGCAGGAAAGTAGATACTAAATTAAATTCTGCTCCACACACTTGTATTCCTGTTCCTTATGTTTGCTTTTTTTAAATTACTGAATATCTTTTCCTCTCTGGGCCTCATCCTCAAACACTTGTTCTCCTTGGCTTTCTCCTCGAGTTGAGTAAGTTTTTATCCCAGCTGATTTAATATCTTATATTTGACTTTATTTTAATTTGTAATTATTCTACTTTCTATTTTATTCTATTTTTTACTCTGATGTGTTGCGTGTTACAATCCTCTTGTTGTACCTTGTACTTGTGAAGTACTTTGGTCAACCAAGTTCTTTTGAATGTGCTGTGTAAGGAAAATTGACATGATTTACTTTCAGTTCTGTAATTTTCAGATAAATCACTTCAAAGTTCCAGTAAAGAACCCGTCAAACTCCCTAAATAAAAGAACACTTTCTATTTTCCCAGTGATGATGGCCAAATTACCAAAGTAACTAGTAGCGACAACTTGAGTTGGATAATATGGGCAGAAATTATATAAAGATAAAAAGTTTCATATCAGTCAGAATAGATCATGATAATTGTCACACTTTGTTTACGTGGCGATTAAAGACAGATTTTTGCTCTGTAGTGAATACTGGGGTTGTAACATTTTGTTTTTGAGCAGAAAATGACAAACAGCAACATTTTACAAATCGGAGGTAGATCAGTTATGTGCTGTACCTCCTCACTGTGCTTACACAATGCATAAACAATGTATTGATACATAATGAGCTTCAGTTATATTAGTAGTCCTTATGTTCTGGCTGTGGAGCAAAGGAGACAGGGCCTTTTCTGTCTGGGCTCCCTGAAGAGATCCGTCTGACAAACACCTTCTCTTTTAAATCTCTCTTAAACACATGTGTTTACAGGTTTGCTCTCTCCTACTTCTCAACTTACCTTTGACCATTTTATAATGATTGGTTGTATATTGTTTTTTCTCTTTTCTCCTCAGTAAAATTTTCTATTTCTGTATCTGTGCTCTATTGCTGCGTGATCAAATTTAAATTGTTTGCTTCATAACTGTTTGCTGGTGTTTGCCTTCAATTCTTATCGCGTTTAACTTGTAAAGCACTTTGTGGTGTTTTTAAAAAGACAGATGGAAAATGCAACAATTATTTATATTGTTTTATTTCTCTCAGAAACGAAACACACTCATTCTGTCAAGTAGAATGGAATGGGACGTGCAACAACATGAAAAGGTACTTAAGTGCAGTATCTGAGTAAATGAACTTGATTACCACCACCATGACACAAAGAGGAAAGATCCCAAACCGGAAATAACTATTAATGATGGTTAAAATGGACTCCATGTTGTGAACATGTGTGTGTAGTTGATAAGTTAGCAAACTTCCCAACAGACCCACCACGGAGCCACCCACGCTCCAGGCCGTCCTCGTGTCTTCCTATCAATTATTACCGTTCTTTCTAATCACGACACCATTTTTAAACACTTTAGTGGTTCACGAATCCAGAAACACTCAACTAACAGGACTTTTAACACGACTGCGTAATGACGTGTGAGAGAGAACGAGCGACGTCGCGACCACACGCACAGAGAAAACCAGCTAATGTCTGCGGACATGAGGGAAACGGTTCTTACTTTGGCGTGTTCCCCCGCAGTGAAGACGAGAGGAGGGCGGTCGTCTGGGAGGAAAGATGTCTGCTTCTCTTCTGTGTGTTTTTCGGGTCTTCTCTCCACCAGCGTGCTCCGGGTCCCACCTAGCTAGCTGCAAACCTAACGGTCCTCTGGAGTTAGCCCAGCCCGCCTCTGCTGCTCTGAAGGCGCAGTTAGCGTCAAAGTTTAGTCTCCGGTCCGATTTTTACATCTTTCCATCTCACCCCGGAAAGTCGCTTTTTCCTTCTGTGGAGAAATGTGACAATAATGGAGAAGCTACGAATGAGAGAAATGCTGCAATGCGACCCGGGAGGGGGGGGGGGGGGGGGGGGGGGGGGGGGGGGGGGTAAATGTCCCAGTGTTCAGTTTTTCCTCTCTCGCTGGGTTCTAGCTCAGCTCTCCAGTCCCCGTGATGTGTGTCTTCTCCCGGGAGTCGGCGGGGTCTGTCTGGGTGTGAAGCCGGGTGGAGTGAGGTGGAGGTCGGGCCTGCAAGAGAGCGAAGTGAGGGGAGCAGACGGAGGAGGAGAGAGAGGAGGAGGGGGGAGGGCCGCGATGACGTTCGAGCACACACACACACAGACACACACACGCAGCTGAAGTGAACATGGAGTCAGACATTCCCTCACATGCATTGATCATGACTGACCCCGAACCCATCTTGACAGGGACAGAGCTTTTTGTGTCCGAATCCCGTCTGTGTTTCCAGATTGAAGCATATGGAGTGTAGACAATCAAGTGGACAGCTCAGTCAACACAACCAAACACAAGCACAAGTACCATTTGCTCTATTGAGTGGCATTTAGTTTTTAATGTGTCTTAAAATTAGGAGCGTGTCAATTGACTTTGGGGGCCCCAGGCAACAGGGCCCTGGAGGGGCCTGCATTGAACCAAACTGACCCCTTCCTGTTCCAATATTTTTTTGTCAAACCTCTAAAATTACAAAGTTTTGACAGAAAAGTTAGTAGCATGGGGCCTCATCAGGGGTTTTGGACCAGTGGGGCCTTTGTGTCTCCTGGAGATAGCCATTCAAAGAATTTAAAGGGGTTCACACCATGCGATGGACTAATGTTATCAGCCCCTCTTGTGGGCCCCTGCTAAGCTTGGGGCCCCAGGCAATTACCTAATTTACAAGTGTTGCAATGCCCCAACTTATACAGTCACATCCTCATCGCAGGTACAGGTAACCTGTACAGGTAGCCTGTTTGGTCATATAGTGTGTGTCCGCAATGACGTGTGAGAGAGAACAAGTGACATCGCAACCACACACACAGTGGAAGAAGTGTGTGGACAGAGCCCCAAGCACCAACATTGGGGAAGAGGCAGGTCGTAGCCGCCTCGGAGGTCTGGTGGTCTGCAGGAGGTCTCATGCGGCCTCATGTGGCCTGATCTGAGGGGGCTGCTTCCTCCTCCACAGGGAGTGGAAGAGGCTCCTTTCATGAATGTGTGCAGTGCTTGCGAGCCCACTACTGCCCACCCTCATGGTTTTATTGAAATGTGTTGCACATATTCGACCTGAAGGGAACCCGACAGCCTGGTTAGTTTTTGAGAAGAGAGCTTAAACAGCCTGGTTCAGGATGGAAAATATCTCATTGGTATTGTATGGTGGCCGAGAGCTCAAGCAGCTACTGTAATTCTCATATGTTTCCCATAGTAGCATGATTTCACCTTGGTGGAGATAAACAGAAACCAAACACGAAGGTAAATGTGTCTGCAGCCTGTAAAGAGCTTCAACAGGTCCTAAGTTAAATCATGACTCTTCAGAGAAATATGTGTTTTTTCATGTTTTAATTCTTTATCAAACTGGCACATTACAACATATATATATTTTGATATATACAGATACAAAATATATAAACAGATCAAATAAATATACACATATCTATACACACATAGATATATATACACAGATATATCTGGGTGTATATTATATATACACAGATAAACACGAATTGAGGTTTTGCAGTTCCGTGTTCTCAATCCAGTGCTTAATTTGTCAGAAGTTGCTGTTTTCTCTTACCTGGCGATCTTCCTTCTCTTTTTTGCTGGGCAGGTTTCTTCTAATTCAGGCACCTCCTCTTTGTCCCTCTTCCTCTTTAAGGAATTCACTTTTATTGAGTTTGAGGGGCAGCTTCTGTCTTGTTGCCTCTGACAGAGACCCTCAAGTCTTTCGTCTCCACTAGGACTGCTAGTCCTCCTTCTCTTGGCTTCGGAGCCACCTGGTCTGTGATGTGGATAAAAACATTTTTTAACTCTTGATCTTAAAGCAGTGGTTAGACATTCAAAAAAATGCACATTGTAAAATGCACTCTGCGGCAGCTCCATAGTTAATGAGAGTTTTATCATTCTTCCCAATGAACTCTGAGCAAAAAACAAGAATATGTGCCAAAATGTTGAACTATCTTCTACAATTTAAAATGATCAAGACGGAGATATTTCAAACACCCACCTGTTGCCACACTCTTCTGTCATTTTTCTTTTTTTTGGCCGGGTGATGGTGGAGGTCTGCAAGGAGGCAATCATCTCATGCTTCATCACAGCATGGCTCCCCTCCTCGGCCGGGCTGCTGGAGGAGTCCTTCTTCTGGGACGTTCGCGGGATCGTTTGGTCTCCGCGTCCTCCATTCTCAGAGCTCTGATCCTTGCAGATGTTCATGAGGTCCTTACATGAGTTCACACTGGAAGACAAATTCAACTACGGAGTCAAACACCTTAATCTCCGTATATCTCATATATGTTTTACCTGTATCTATCAGCACAGATGTACACAGACCATCTAAGCACACACTTACTAGGAGCTGTTGTTGAATTGACCTTCAAAGTGGCTCATTGTGATAAAGGGATGCTGGAGAATTTGTCTGGGGGTAATTCTCTCAAACGGATTCGTCATCAGCATCTCTTTGAGTAGATCTGCAAAGCACTTCAGGTCACATGCTTCAGCAATGTAGTCCTCTCCCCAGAGCCGAGGAGTCGCCTTTAACAAGATGAGAGGAAAAAAACATTGTTTGTTAAAGATATGTTGTGCCGTTATAAATTCATCCTGGCTGTTGATCACAAATGAGAATTGAAACTATTGACTGAAATGAATAGTTTGCTCCAAATGCAGTGGATGGCACAGGGGAAAGAAACACAGACTGAAGGACAGACAGCATAATTAGTGGGCTATAAAAACAGCTAAGTGATGGTAAACTCATTTCTTACCATAAATCTGGATTCCATCCAGTGTTTTGGCCAGAAGCAAGGATTGAAGTCTCCTTCAGGCTTTCCAATTGTTAACCATATCTTATTGATCTGTGGAAAAAACACGTTGTGAGAGTTAATTAACGTTGAGTTTGTAAACTCATCATTGTTGTTCAGGTGCACTTCTATAACTGAGACATTCGGATGATAAAATATAAATAATGAAAATATAAAATAGTAGAAATCTGTCAACTTCTATTGGAAACTCTCACTGTTCTAATCAAGTGTGTGGATTTAAAAATTCAAAAAGAATCACAGCAGAAAGGTTTGTATTGTTTTCAGGGCAGTGCATGTGATACTGACCAAATCATTCTCATCCAAGGAGGGGAACAGGATTTGGCCTATAAAAAGCTCAGCAGCAATGCAGCCTAGAGACCATATGTCAATCGCCCCGTTGAAAGGCTCTTTCTGCACAATCTCAGGTGATCTTAGAAGAAGAAGAGAAACAAAAACACATTCAAGTCAATACATTACAGCAAACACAGCTGTCCCAGGTATAGAGATGTGCTGTCAGTTACCTACCTGTAGTACAAGGTCTGGAGGACGCTACCTATCTGCTCCTCAGGACTGTTGCTAGCCAAGCCAAAGTCAATGACTTTAACTTTCAGCGGTTTGCCGACATGATCCACCATCATTATATTATGAGGTTTCAAGTCTGCATGAACAATCCCGGTGTTTTGCAGGAAATCCAATGACGTAGCCAGCTGAAATCATGAATAACACAATAATCATCATGAGCTACAGAGTTCTTCTCATCAACAAAAACATTGTTTCATTGATGGCAGCAAAAACAGAGAGTTTGGAGATTCAATTCAATTCAATATTATTTGTATAGTGCCAAATCATAATATACATTATCTCAAGGCACTTTACATAGAAGGTCAAGAACTTAAAATCGTATTTATACAGAGAAACCCAACAGTTCCCACACAGATAGACCAACATACATAGCACTAGTGACTGAACACACTAAACATGAGATTGAAGGAACTAAAGGTTTCCATTTAACCACCACAAATCACCATCTCTAGTCTTTAAGGACATTATTTAACTTGACATAGTGCAAACATCTTTCATTAGTTGTTATTGAAACAAAAAATTGTGCAGTTTGAGAAGAAAGATGCTTTTTGATAGAAGTTACAACTGAGATTTTATAAAAAACTGTAACAGACACTTCACCCAACAAAGCAGTTAGTGTAAGAATTTCAGCTTAAAAATCAAACCTGCTGCAGAATGGGGCGAATCTGCTTCAGCTCAAGATGTTGACCTGGGCTGTTGGTCATGAATTTGTGGAGTTCCATGTCCAGGTATTCAAATACAAGGCAGGAATGTCCCTTGTAGCTGAAGGACTCGTTCAATCTGACGATGTTGAAGTTGTCTGATTGGAGCTGCTTCATAGTTTGAAGTATGGCCTCCTCTTCCACTGCAAACTGACTGTACGCCGAGCTTAGAAACATCTTCAGAGCCACCAGTTCATTGGTGCTCAGATTCCTGCATTGGACGACGAGTCCATATGAGCCACAGCCCAGGTACTTCTTCACTACGTAATTCGTAGCGGGGGATGGGATCATGTCACCCTCTTTGATTTCTATTACCACGTTTTCAGACATGGTGACGGAATTACCCTTTTGATTTCTCAAACTGTCGGGAGAATAGAAAAGAAGGAATGAGACACAAAGACACGTGTGCTCTCACACAGACAGTTCACATGCATGCAGCAGAAATGTTTACAGACACTTTATCAAGTTCAGTCATTTTAAATCTAAAACTACTGCTTCAAACCAGGATACAGTACAGACCAATAAATATTACTTACTTCTATCACTAATACTACTCCTATGACCATATGTACATATTTATTGTACACAATCAAAAATGAGCCCACACTGAAGATATAACTACTGAATATGAAGATAAAACTACTAATTAACACATACAAATATCTTTCTCAAACTTTTACTCCCACCAAGCTCAAATTGTAACAGCATCATTTGTAATAATTGTAGTAACATACTTAGCTGAGTTCAACAGGTGTCAGGTGGAAAATATTCAACTCCAGGGAAGGTGATCTTTAAAAATAAAGTTTTAATCTCTGAAATCACACAAGCCTAGTGGTCCTCATCAAAGGTTAACGTGACTGAAATGATAAAGCTTTATGTGTGTTTGTATACCCCTCTGACTTTGATGTGCAATCAAAGGCACATTTGATTTCCTTTTAAATTAAAAGCCAACAAACCATCACTGTGTTATGTAAAATTACTGTGCATATTGTCATATATTTTTTAATTAATTAAACAGTTGATAAACAGATAATTAATTGACAATTATTGTAGTAGTCGATTTATTGCTTCAGATGTTTTTCATGAAAAAATTCAATTTTTTTTTTTTTTTTTTATTGTATTAAGCGAAAATCTGAAGGTTTTAGATTGAGGCCAGACACAACAAGCAAATAAAAAAAAAAACACTGTGGCCTCTTTAGAAACTTTAAATGACAATTATTTCTAAAAAATATTTTACAGTTAATCAAGGAAATAATCATAGGATTAATTGAATTGAATTCAATTTTATTTGTATAGCGCCAAATCATAATATACATTATCTCAAGGCACCTTACATAGAAGGTCAGGACCTTAAAATCAAAATATAGAGAAACCCAACAGTTCCCACATGAGCAAGCACTTTGGCGACTGTGGAGAGGAAAAACTCCCTCATTGACAGGGAGAAACCTCTAGCAGAACCAGGCGGTCAATGTGGGCGGTCATCTGCCTCGACCGGTTGGGGTGAGCAGAGAAAACGGGGGAAGGAGATGAGAGATGGGTGGAAAAGAGGAGAGAGAAGAGTGAGGGATAGTGGGGAGGGGGAAGTAGGGGAGAGGGGGGGGCGAGAAAGACTTAAAGTTTATGTGCTATTAATTGGGAGGAGGTGGTGGATTTTTTCCGATGGTTATAATTTTATTTGTAAAGAAGCTCATGAAATCATTGCTTCTCAGGGTTAGAGGAAAAGATGGGTCAATTAACTGATTAGTAGCTATAAAACAATTTAAAAAACACCTAATAGGGCTATTTGTCAACTTTTTGTCTTTAAATGACTCAGAAACCACCCCTGATTGTATCCAGCCTGAAGAGCACTGGCTTGTAGAGGTGAATAAATCTGTACACAACACGTGGCCTCAATCCTCTATTGTAAACATTGGTCTACGTAGTGTACGAAATTTCAGTCGCTCTCCTCACTGCTCCATTTCAGATCTCCCTGTTCTCGTAACCCATGAACTATTAAAAAGAAGCATGTGAGGGGTGTTAGGCTGACATACTGTACAATATGACTTCAGGTCTGTTTTCTCCAAGAGCTCGGCCCAGGTAGTAAGAGTGTGCTCATGTGTGCGGCAGCCTCAAATGGTCAAAAGGTCAGTGAGGCTGTTCGTGATATGAATAATAACCACAAGCGCTGTGGATCTCGCTCTAAAATAATGGATGCATGACATTTTCTTTGGCCTGATATTAAACATACATTAAGTTCCTGGAACCGTGTTCTTCCAGATAAAACTCCACAGCCTTTAATTCTGCTGATGAATCAGTAGTCTGCTCCTGTAAATGAATACAGTTGATAACAAACTTGACACATCAGTTTTATGTGGGTGAAAAGCTCTCTTCTTCTTCTTCTTCTTCTGATTTCATGCTCTCCACTTACTCCCCCCTCTGGTCACAAGGTGAATGTGCGCTCTTGTTCCTGTGGTAATTTTGTGTTGCATCATTCAAAAACAAATTATTTTGCATACAAGATAATCTTTTTGTCTCACACAATTGCAAAACACATGAATACTCAATAAACCACAGCAGGGACAGTTCGTATGATATTTTTTTTATTTTAACTTAAAAAGAGAGTGGATCAAAAACAGGATTCAATAAATAAGAAATAAATATAATTGCTGTAATAATTAATACATACATTATAATTACTCGATTGCAAGAGTCTGACAGAAACAGGCCCTCAAAAATTTTTCTCTAAAAAATTCTAAAATGAAAATATTGCAACCCACTCAAACCCCTTCTCTCAATAAACAAAATAATTGATAAATTAGTAAATAAATAAAAAATAGCTCAAATATTAAACCTCCCGAATAAAAGTGCAACCCGCCCCCT